TGTAAATCTGTCATTCATCATTCGAAGATTGACCTTGCTCATTTGGAAGAGGTGGTATAGCTGTAGTAGAAGGATTGCCAACCATTGTACCCACAATAGATTCTAGTGTGTGTGAAGTAAGAGTGGTCGCCTCTACACCGGAAACTTCCTGAAAATGGGGAGCTGTAAGGTTCTCCTAATTATCAGTCCGAACACTATTCTTTGTAGGTAAGGATCCTTCAGTATTTTTTTTCATTTTGGTCGGCTCTACATCCGAAGATTGAAGGTGTAGATTGCTCAGCAGAGTCATCCATCATCACATCCATCGAAAAAACATAAACAGTATTGTCAGGAGGGTCTACTGGGGCAATTAAATCAGACACCAAATCCTATCTTGTGGTAGTTTTCTCTATAGGTAGACAAATATGTTCAGAGCAGTGGGGTTAGACCCATCCTTATTCACTTGAATTTTAGATTTCAAATTAGGATGAAACTTGTAGCATTTATCAAGGCTATGCCCAAACATCTTACAATGATTACAATAAGGAGATATGTATTCCATGAAGATTTGTTGCCAATAATCATTATGAGTTGTGCCCAACCATACTTCAGTAATATCAGGTAAAGTAATATCTCTTTCCACAAGTATTCTGGCTACAGAAAGTTTGGATAGATTGAAATTTCTAAGTTAGAGAAAAAGAGTGTTGTTTTCCCACCTTTCCTACTTGCCTTATTAACAAAAGAGCAATCACCTGTACCATCACGACAACCCTTATAACTTGAGGGGAAGACAACCGTCGACTCCACTTGAAGATTACCCACCACTTGGGCAAAGGAGGCTTTGCTAGGTTTAACCGAAGAAGTAGGGAGTGCCATCAGAGCAGGGAAAATCACCTGCTAGAAGATCCTGATATAATCGCGGCGAGGGGAGAAAGAATGCGAAGCTGTCGGCGTCTCCTCCTGCAAAGTCCCGAAATCTCGAAAGTAGGGAGAGGCGAACGTGCAGAGATATGCAGCTGTCGGCGTCGAAACAGACGAGACGCAGTAAACGACGCAGACACGAGCTGCTGTTCGCGTCAAAACAGACGAAACGCAGTGACGACGCGAGCGGACGAAGCAGAGGAAATGAGAAGCGGAAGTGAAGAGACGACGAAACAAAGGAAATGAGAAGTGGAAGTGAAGAGACGACGAAACAGAGGCGAGGTGCGAACCCTCTCCTTCGAGTGACTGAATCATAGGCGATGAAAATCGCCATTCAAAACCTTAGCAAAGCTCTCGGCCGCCATCGTTCATATATATAATTAAAGATGAAAAGATACATATAGGTTGAATGAGAGGGTCTAAAAGAAGACCCAACTCACATAATACAACACACACAACTCCAAATAAAACTCCAAATAAAACAAAGATAACAAAGATACAAAAGGATAAAAAACCAAAAAGCCATCAACGGTCGCAAAAGGCCTAGGGACGTCTCACTTTAGTCCCCCCTCTGCCTTTAGTTCTCGGAAATGATCCGACTAACAGATTGGTAAGGTCCGTACCATTACCCGAAGTAACCAAAGTATCGTCCATCAGATTCCTAAGCTCAAGTAGTTCTCCATTCTTCTTCTCCCTCCTGGATGTGTAGATCTGTCACTCATCTGATCAATGGATTGTTCCAAAGGTTGTCGGGCATGTGTAGGCTGTTGCACATCATGATCCCCATGAGCTTGAGTAACATTAACATGTTGCTCAACTTGATGAGGCGGTAGTGAAGCAGTAGAAGTATTGCCGCTTGTAATATCAGTGATAGGTTCTAGAGCAAGTGGGGTCTGAAGAATCTCTCTCGCCCCCATAATAGGGGGTTCCAAAGACGGTGGAACAACGATTTTGTGTGAAGACTGAATGATTGACATATTGCCTGCGAGGATAGTGACATCTTCAGGAGTATCCTTTTGATGATCAATAATATTAATAACTTGGGGTTTGAACATGAGGAGCTGGATTCCCTGCCTCTGGCAGAGCGTTTTGCTTTTTTTGTTTGAGTTGGGGTGTAGATGGTGGCATTGAGAATTGGAGTGACCGCACATACGACAGTTCGAACAATAAGAAGAAAAATACTCAACCACTACCTTTTGCCAATATCCATGGTGTTGTGTGTTCAACCAAATCTCCTCAGAAGCGGATAAAGTGATGTCTCTTTCAACAAGTACTCTGGCTTCAGATGGGCGAGAAATATTAAAAGTACGAATGTCTGTTTTAAGTGGCTTACCATAAGCTGAGACAATAAAGTACAACACTTTTTGAGTGAAATAATGAAATTTCAAATCAGGGAGGCGAATCCAAACCATAATGATTAGTGATTCCGTCTGTGGGTCAAAATCCACAGATTTTTTTAGAATCTTCATTGTTCTGTTATCAATCCAGATAATCCTTCTAGCAAAAATTTTAGATGGAAGACACACTCTTATTCAATGTGTGTGTTAATTTCATATATTCGGAGAATTCTTTTCATATGGTTTATGTCGGTACAGCCGTCAACATCTCCAGTTTTCCCATCTATGGTTGTATCTAAAAGTTAGTGGTGCTCCAGTTGTATCTCGTTCTGTGGTGGTGATTATCACATGTTTTTTGGTCATTCACAACCTACCATCCGCTACCGTCGTCTTCCACCCCTTCCACACACGCCAGGCAACATACGTGCTGTTCCTGTTGCCACCTACCCATCTAACTCGTGCCAGCCCTCATATCTCGAACTTACAGCTTCCAGGTGTCATTATCCCTGCTGCATGCTACCCTTTCCCTGTGGCCTAACACTTCACTCGCCTACCTTATTGTCACTTCCACCATACAAACATCCCGCAACCCCACCTACTGTCCCCTCTGACTTCCAACCACAATATTCCTTACCTTCCAACTGCTAATTACAGCCATCTAATGCCCTCCATCTTGCATGACAGACCACAACCCTTTGGGATACGAACCTAGTTGCGTTTGTGTAATGTCTGTTGCTATTCTAGTTCTATTTGTGTGATTGTATTTCCTTATTTTGAATTCAACAATAATATTTTAATTTTTCTATCATTGCTTTGGTTAACTCCAGTATCAAAGAATTTACACAGTTTAAACAGGTTTTTATTTCATGTTATTCCAAGAAAGCACCACAAGGATGCATATTTTTGTGCACGACGAGCTTTATAGGATAGTATTTTCTTGAAAAATTTTCATTATTCACATGCTTTGTTTTATACTCTTAGAGATGATAGGCTACAATCTAGCTAGCGCAGCTTTTTCCGCAGTTAAAGGCCAAAGTTGCACAATTTTGAGTTTGAGTCCTCTATCAGTTGCACTTGATCAAGTGAAGCAACGCTTGGTTGCTCTCCGCTCAGCCATGTGCCTTTATTACTTGCTCCATTTACGACTTCTTAGATTCGTTCTCTCGCCTTTGCTTCTTCTATCACTCTTGGTTACAATCTTCAACCTGGATAGAGATCATTGCCCTTTCCATTTTGCTGCTTATTGCACAAGCCTACTCGCTTCTTCTTTCTCCTTTGAGCGCTCAACTGTTCACTTTATCTCCCTTCTCCTTCGATTCGTCTGTCTTCTTTGCTTTAAGTGAACCAGTGAACTATGTTTAGTGATGATGAATAGTTTATGGAAATCGATTTGAGAGATTTAAAAAAAAGCTTAGAAAGAAAGTGCACAGAACAAGAAAACACAATAAACACAAGATTTAACTTGTAAAAAAATGAGAGCGGAAAAATAATCATGGAACCACACCATAAAAGGAAATATTATAGGAAAAAAAATGAGGAAAATCGTACAAACTATACCACACTCAAGCCTCTTCATATTTTGGAACACTTCAATATGCTTTTTCTCTCCTTTGCACAAGAGAAAACTTGAAATTCAACCCCTTCCCATCGACAAAGACTTCAGTACACGTAAGAACATTCTGAAATTAGTTAGGGGCGTTGGGGCACCGTGCTATGTTTTTGGGGAGCTGAATCAGGGGTGCTGCAGTGCCTCAAACTTGAGTTTTGAGTGTGGTCTAGACATTGCAGCGATGTTGGTCTTAACGCTAGGGCGTTAGAGTCGGGCACAACGTTGCTACACTTTGGGCGCTGGAGTGTCGTGCTTCTTGGTTCTGAACCTGGATAGGGCGTTACGGTGCTATTTTCTTGGCCTCGGAGCACTAGGTACATAAAAAGATTTTCGGGCACAGTGTTGTCAAACCCAATACAGGGACATGCCCGCACCCTCTGACAAACTCATTGTCAAGCTTGATTGATGAAATTGAGCTTTTTGAGTGTCCAATTTATTAACATAATCACACTTCACATAGTAACACAAACCTCAGTTTGATTTCTTTTTTTTTCCCTGGTCAAGTACATAATTAGCCTAAAAGAAAATATTGATAAAGTATTTGATGACACCACTTAGCATTTGTTTTCATGAACTTATTTTTAACGAATATGATATACATTAATGCTTATGGGGTCAGAACCTTCAGAGGGGGAGGACTCCTTGTGGTATCTAATCCTGCTATAGATTATCATCTTCGACCATTGTCACACAAATAAGTATTTATTGATTCACTGCACTCATTGAATTTGTGTGCTGTGTGTTTTGGCCATGGTCTATATAGTTTTGGATGAGTCTTTTCCATATGTTTGGTTTTATGGTGCAATTGGTTTCACAAGTAGTCCTACATCACTTTATTTTTTAAATATTGATTTAAATGTGTTGATACCACAACTATTTGTCATCATCTTAGTCTTGAAAATTTCCATAAATAGTTGGTCAGGTGGTAAACTAAAGGTGAAAGATAAACAATGTATCTTTTTTATTCTCCAATATGTCTCTATATTTATTTTATACATACCCAGAACTATATAGTTGTTCATTTCTTCCAGGCTGATTCAGCTTCACCTTTTAGGATCATTCTATAGAAAAACTTTATGATCTTACGTATTTGCTTTTAACTTTTTCCTTGTAATGTAATGATTTTGATTGTTGCTGTTTTTCCTATTGTGAAGATTTACGTAAGAAAGGTTCGGAACAAAGTTATTGGACGCATTGGAGATGCACAATTATCATATGACAGGTATGCAAATTACTTTTTTTTTCTCCTTAGAGAAGTTTCATTCTTGATTCATGTTGTGATGCTTTGAGATGCTGTCTATCTAATAAGGTTTGGTCCAAGCATAGCGTTTAGAATTTTCAAACTGTAATACATTTTCCATCCTTATCCAAATTTTGGTCTAGTGAAGCTTCTATTCAAATCAGTGCACTCATGCTTCAAAAGCGTTTGGGAGTGAGAGCGTTCTTCCTAGTCATTTTCTTTCTCTTCTGTAGGTTAAAAACCTGTGGACAGGAAAATAACTTGATCGGTGAATCATGAATCAGCTTTAAATTAGCTTTATATCAAGGTTGATTATGAGTACTGGAATCTTGCTTTTTGCTTTATGTGCAAAAAGCTAGCTTGTATTTTGATACAATTCTCAATATTTCGATAATGCTATGCTCCATACTTCTCAATATGATTCGTACAGTATGTAAATTTGTGTTCAATATCACATATAAAGCTATTTTTTAGAAAATCATTGATTTTGGCATATTGGTTGTATTATAGCAATAATACAGTGTGATTTAAAGAAATTGTTAAAAAATGAAATTAGGGATGGAACTAGAATTTAATGAATCCTCTACAATATGAAATTATACGCTTGTGTTCATATTAACGTTTAAAAAAATTCTATAAATATCAGGACTGAGAAATATAATCTAATAGAATTAGAATATTAAGCGTCCAATAACATAATTTGAATCCGAAAGAATTTCAACGGTATTATTCCACTTACAGACCAAGTTTTTCTTGGGAATTTTCTTAATGTGATGCCATTTGAATGGAGGAAATTTTCAAATAATTCTAAAAATTCTAGATGCTCTCATTTAACTGTGACTGCTAAATTAATGATTGATTAGTTGATTAGAAAGATATACAAGTTTGTAAACAAGAATATATATATATATATATATATAATACATACATGACATATATATATATAGGAATGGCGTCGGTGGCGAGCTCGAGCTGCTCCGCTAGGGTTTCGCCCAATGGCGATTCCCTGGCTTGATCTTTCGACTTTACCATCGTGCTCGAAGACGAAGCTCTTGCACTCGACGACGAATTTTGGGTTCGACAATCTCTCTTGCGATCGTCGACTCCTACGCCGTCGTAACGTCTCACTGCTTTTGTGGACGTCGAGCTGCTAGCCGCGTCGAGCTGCGACTGACTGTCTCGTCTTCGTCGTCTCGTCGCTTCTGCATGGGTGGTCATCGAGCTGGGAGCCGCGTCTGGTCGTCTTGTCGTGGTTCCTCTGGCTCTCGTTTGCTGCAACTGTTCCGCGACTTGCCTCGTCGAGCTGCGACTGTTCTGCTGCTTCAACAACTACAGTTTTTCGCCTCGACCTTTCGGCTTGCTATTTTTGCCGCTGCTCCACTTTGGCAGGGCTTCTCTTGCTGGATGAAGCTTCCTCCGTCTATGTTTGAACCTGACAAAGCCTCCTTTGCCCACGTTGTGGGTAATTCTCAGAGGGAGACAACGGTTGTTTTCCCCTCAGGTTATAAGGAGCAACGAGAAGGTGATTGCCCTTTAATCAAGATTGTAAGCAGGAAAAGTGAGAAATTAATACATTTTTTCTTTGAGCTAGAAATTTTATTCTTAGTGATAAATTCAAGTTTGTTCTTATTGGAAAATTTCAGTGGGGACACCCACCTATGGAGGTTATAAGGAAAAGTTTTGATGATCTCAAATTAGCAGGAAAGTGAAAAGTAGGTCTCATAGATGGGAGACATGTATTAATTCAACTAACCGTGCCTGAAGTCTACACTGAGATTTTTTCGAAAAAATATCTCAATATTGATGGTAAACCAATGAAGCTACTCAAGTGGTATTCTGATTTTGACCTCAACCACGAATCTCCTACTGTATCGGTATGGTTTAGTCTACCTAATCTCAAGCTGGACTTTTTTCATCATCAGGTTATTTATTCTATTGGTGCCATACTTGGGGACCCTTTGAAGCTAGATCTATCTAGTTTTAACCTAACCAGACCTTCTGTGGCCAGAATACTTGTTGAAAGAGACATTACTTTACCTGATGTTACTGAAGTATGGTTGGGCACAACTCACAATGGATATTGACAACAAATTGTTATGGAGCAGAAACCTCCTTATTGTTCTCGTTGTATGATGTTTGGGCACAATCTTGATGCTATAAGCTTCACCCTAATTTGAAATCTAAATATCAAGTAAATAAAAATGGATTTGACCCCACTGCTTTGGAAATATTTGTTCCATCTGAGAGAAAACTACCATAGAATAGGTTATGGTGTCTGATTTAATCGCTCCTGTGGATCCTCTCCCTGAAAATACTATTTCCGCGATCGATGAGAAGCTGGATGGCCCTGTTGAGCAACCTACACTTTCAAACCCTCCTCAGTTGCAGGAAGCATTAGGTGAAGACGAGAGGTGAAGGTGAAGACGAGACATTTCATGCTTCACACACACTTGAACCTACAGTCATTGCAACAGTTGACAATCCTTCTTCTGGTGTTCATAAGTTTTTATCTGCTCGGCGTTCTGTTTACCAACACGATGATAATATGAGCTGGTCTTCTAAGGAGGAATGACAGGTCTATTCAAGGAGGAAGAAGAAGATTGGAGGCAAACTTCAGCTTGGGAACCTAATGGATGATAATTTGGTTACTTCGGGAAATGACTCTGCACTCAACAATTTGTTATTAGGATCTCGCCCTAGAACTATAGGCAGAGGCAAGACTAAATTGACTCGTCCCTAGCTACTTCTTTTCTACGATTTTTGGTATCTTTCCTATTTTAATAGATTTAGCCCTTGGGCTTTTCAATATATATATATATATATATATATGAATCATCCATCAAAAACCTAAGCTCTCAAAAATTATCGAGCATCATTTCAAACAGAACAATTAGAAATACCTAAATAGATTTCCCTAAAAGAGCCGCTTCTTAATCATCGTCCCGGAAAAATCGTTCCAGGGGAGATGGGAGATAGAAAAATCTGAGCTCGTGTGTGGCTTTTTGTTGGTTTTCCTTACCGAGCTTAATCAAATACCAATTCAAGAGAGTATATTTTGCTTGGATATGCTATCAAAAAAAGGCGATATAAGTGTTACTCTTCTTTTACCAGAAAATATTACAATTTTATGGATGCCACAATTTCTTATTATCAATTATACTATCTCAAATCTGATGTTCAATGAGAGTGCAAATGAACATCAATTCTGGGATGTACTTGACACCTACACAGTCTTACCACCTACTTCACATATCCCTCTTATCTTGGTTGAGGATGCAACCCAACTTGAAGTCCAAAACAAAGAACTTTTTGTGAACATAGGGAGAAAGAAAACCTTGAAAAGCTCAAACCAAAACTTGAGTCCTCATTCACCTAAAATTTCGGGCAAGGTGTCTGGTAATCTTGAGTTATCCCCTTCTGTTGATGCTGGTAACAGGGAAAGCTATATTACATATCCAGTTTATAACTATGTAGCTTATGATAAGCTATTCTCATCCTACAAAACTTTTTTTTCTAACCTGATAGTGTGTAGATTCCTAAATCTATTCATGAAGCTATTGAAAATCCAAAATGGAGGCAGTTGAAGAGGAAATTTGAGTACTATAGCATAACGAGACATGAATTCTTACTAAACTTACTTAGAATAAGAAGTCGGTTGGGTGCGAATGGATATGCAACATGAAATAAAAAATTGATCTTGGTATTGAGAGGTTCAATGTTAAATTCGTTGCAAAATGTTTCACTCAAACCTATAGGATTGGTTATCATGAGAATTTCGCACCAGTTGCCAAACTTAACATTATCATAGTTTTTCTTTTAGCAGCAGTAACAAGGAATTTGGACTATGTCAACTTGACATAAAAAATATCTTCATGAATGGGGATCTAGAAGAAGTGTATAAGAAGTTACTATCAAAACTAATAAATTATTCCAATAAACACCTAATATGTAAACTCAGAAAGTCTCTCTATGAGTTTAAGCAATCTCCAATTGCGTAGTTTGAAAGGTTTTTGCTAAAACTATGAGATTTAATGGGTATTCTTAAACTCAATTTGATCATACTCTATTATACTGATAATATATTTAAATAAAATGATTCTTACTGGTGATGATGAAAGAGAGATTCTCAACATTAAAGTGTTTCCCATGGAGGTCCTAGGAACCATTAGATATTTTATAGTTATGGAGATATCAAAGCTAAAGAAAGGCATTGCTATATCATAGAGGAAATACATTCTACATCTACTAAAGGAGATAGGGATAATTGGATGTAAGCCTGCTAATAATCCAATGGATCCCAACCAAAAGTCCAAAAGAGGAGAAGAAAATGTATAGGTGGATAAAGGAAGATATCATAGATTGGTAGAAAAACTCATCCACCTGTACATACAAGACCAAATATTACATACTATGTCAGTATTGTGAACCAACACATGAATAACCTAAACAAATAGCAATTGGAGATGGTGTAAAGAGTTGTTAGGTTCTTAATGAAGACTCCCATATTATGGGTTAATTTTTGATAAAACCAAGATCAGAGGTGTGGAAGTTTACATTGATGCTAGTTGGACCAGGGAACTCACTAACAAGTCCACCCCCAGTTATTGCTTTTATGTATGAGAAAATTTGTTGACATGGAGAAGTAAGAAGTAGTAGAAGCTCTGCAGAATCAGAGTATAGAGCACTCGGCTTGGGAAGTTGTGAAAGGATATGAGAATTAGAATTGTCAACGGAATTGAGAGGTACCCCTAATAGGCCTATACAAATATTTTGTGAGAGTCAAGCGGCTATCAGTATTGTCAAGAATCATGTGCATTATGGTAGGACCAAATATATTGAATTTGATAAATACTTCTTCTCTAAAAATGTTAATTGGGGAATTATACTGCTAAGCTACATCTTGACACACCAAGTTGTTAACGTCTTTCATCGAATCTCTTTCTTTAAGCACCTTCTCAGAGTTCAATACCAAGCTTTGTCTCTATAACATGTACGACTCAGCTTGAGAGAGTGTGGAAATTTGAGAAGATTGTGAAGGAAATCTAGGAAGATTTGGTTGAGACAACTTAAGAAACTCTTGATTAGTTTATTCCCTTCCTATTTTATATTATTTTATGTTTTGTTTCAGAATTTTTCTAATTTGGTGTAAATATATTTGGTAAGTTTTAAAATTATTAAAGGATTATTTTCCCTTTATATATGTAACATATATTTGAAAAAAATGAATCAAGAGAATTATTCCTCTCCAAAGCTATTTTCAGCAAACTAGATCTACTTATGTTTTCACATCTCATCATATAAAAAGTAATCATGTAAATTTGTGCGTTTCATTTTCTAGACTAGAATAAAGCAAAAGCAATGGTGAATTAGGATTGGCTGAGATCATTGTAGCTTGTTTGTTGAGTAGTTGGCCTACTTCCGTGCAGAGGAAGGGTTGAAATTTAGGCGAATCTTTTTTAACTAATAAAGGAGTAGTGATACTTTTATCTGAGAAAAGTGGGAAAAATGATTGTGAATGCCAACAACTTGAACTAGGCTTTTAAACTTGGTTGAAAATTATCTTGATATTATCAGAGTGATTGTTTGGCTGACAAATTTTTGGTGATATCAATCATATAAAATGCTTATTTTTTCTTTTAGTTTATTTTGATGCCACTCTAAATATATGAATTTTTGGTATACATAATTAACAAAGTACTTAGATCTAGATTAATCTCGATCATTTGATCAAGGATAGCAAGATTCGTGTTTCCATGATCCCCCATAACAATGGTTGGAACAGCAATGGTTCGGCCAACCTCGTCATGTTGGATTGCATATTTTCCAATGTGAATTTGGGCATCCAACTTAATTCATCTTAACATCAATCTCATGGTCATCAACATAATGCTATGGATATAATCAAATATTTAAAAACACTAGCCTTTGAGGGAAGTCTTGCATCCATTTGTCCATCACCAGGGGCATAATGGTTCTAGCATTGGATCATAAATATGATGTGGCTCAATTTTCATCATCCTACTACCAAGAGAACCTAAATTTCTTGAAGATTATTTTGGGCCGACATAGATCTTAGAGACCATGTGGCTCATCTATCAACAATACAGCCTGTCTGGTACCGAAGTACCCTTCCTTTTTGCTTCCTATAAATACCCTTTCATAGGGTTAGTTTGGGGACATTTTAATTTTATCTTGCTCTAAAAGAGAGTTTGATGAGTTGCTTTTAATTCTTTCTCTAGCCTTCAAGCTTGCTCATTTTCAGCTCATGATTTCTTGCAGCACTCAACTACCAACAAAATCTTTATATTTTGTATAACACACCACTATATATTAAAGGAGCTAAATCAGCTCCAAATTCATTCAAAAAACCAAAAAGGGATACAAAAGTGAGGGAAAATTTGGGATCCTTAGGTGTATGGTCAACTGGTTGAAGAAGAATATCAGAGAATTTCTTGTACTTGGAAAGCTTCTGAAGGTACACTAAGCAATTGTTAGCAATCCAATTAGCATCCTGCCTAGATTCCTCAAACTTGGTGTTGTTTCTAGCCATCCACACAAACCAAGCAATAATACAAGGTACAGGGAATAAATGATGATCCAGCCAGTCCTGCCAACACTGAAAGAAATTACCCCAAGACAGTTGGAAGGTAGAGATCTTCAAACTGGGCAAGATGCATCTCCAAACCCTCTGAACAAATGCACAACAAATGCAATGACTCCTCATTTCTACAGAACACACAACATGAAGGACCCCTCAACCCAAACCCATGCTATGAAATCCATTATAACCTTGCCTCAAATTAGTCACATGGGGTTTGTTGGGTGGTCCGCCCTCTACCAATCTTTTCAAAAAAAAAAAAAAAAGAATAAGAAAAAAAAAAGTATAAGCATTATTTAGTCAACTTTTATCATCAAAATTTGAACTTAGACGAATAAACTATAAGAACAAGCTTGTGCTATGAATAACTAGATTTTCTGACTATTCGAGTGATTGTTGATAGAAGAAAATTGAGAAAAGTGTTAAATTGGTTCCCGGACTCTTTGCAGCGTGTCTTTTTAGTTTGAGAGCTTATAAAAGTATCAATGTAGTCTTCAAACTCTTTTAATACGAATTGAAATAGTTTTCGTTGAGGATATTTTTTCCCTCATTAAAATAGTTGAGGAAAATTGGCACTTTTATAAAATATGGGACTAAAATGGCCTCATCTAAATAGTCAGTGGCTTATTTTGACACCCACCCTACTTGAAGTAAAAAAAAAAAAAAACTATTCGAGTTTGACAAGAAAAGACATTCTAATTCCAAGATGGTTGATGGTGCAACCTGCAGACAGCACAAGCTGAGAGGGAAAAGCAATGGCAGGTAGATAAAATACAAATTTTAAAATGATTTGGTTCACAGACCTATATCCATGATTGAAGTTCCTCTTATTATGTTATTTGTTAATGTCAGAGATGGATTAGAAGGATTGAGCCTTTTAGAAGTACCACAATAAGGGATATGCCTTGGAGTCTTCTTGTTGAGAGTAGAGCATCAGTGCCAAATGTTATATGTAAATGTAAATATGCAGAGATATGATGCAATTATTTTTTGAAAAGGTAGATTTAAGATTATTGCTCTCATAAATATGATTATAGGGCTTTGATTCAACCCTGGCAGTTGATTTTAATCCGGATCTCATTTCCCTTCATTTTGCAGAGTTATACATGTGTTGATTTTCAAAAGCAAATGTGGCCTGATGGATTATAATCCTTCCTTATGGTTCCTTTGTAGATTCAAATTCCTTTTTCTTTTATTTATTTATTTATTTTGAGTTATGATTCTTTTATAATTTATTGTTAGTGCGAAAATAAATTCCGCACTTTTTGAGATATTTATATTTATGTTTTGTTAAACTATATCCATTTTAATGAATATAGTAATTCTATGATTATATCAAAAGAATGTTTTTCCAATATTAATGGATTTTTTTGCAGGGTTACTGGGCGCTTTTCTGATATTTGATGAAGTGGTTCAATTCAGAATGAGATGGGCGCTGTCAAAAAATGCTCATCAGAATTTTCTCATGATTAGGATTATCCAATCCTCTAATCCATATGTAGATCAAAATTTCAAGAATATGCTTAAATGTTTACATCTGATTTGGCCTGTTGATTTTCACTATATATATATATATATATA